TAGCGAAGAGAAAACTTATTGACTTTTTAAAAAAATCTAGATTTTGACTTGAGAATTTTTGATTGAAAATTAGTGGTTTTTCGATTTTAGATCCATATAAGGATAAAAATATAAATATTTAAATTAAAAAATTTCAGTGTGTTTGTACAAGGTAAAAATAAAAGCAAGTAAGGAAGGACTAAATTCGGGTGTAACTGAATATTTTATACTCTCGCAAAGTCAAATAGTATGTCGTTTAAGATTTCTTTGTATATTTTAATAATTAGAAGTAGGAACTCTTGCCCCAGTTATTTACATTCACAGTGAAATTAATTAGAGCAATTTGTAAACTAAATTTACTCAAATTATAAGATACCTTTTTATGAGTAAAATAATATTGGCGGTATAAAGTCACCCGGAAGTTCCAACATCTTTATATTAGGTATATGACATTTTTGACACAAAAACATACTGTTACTGAAACTCGCGACATTATTTATTTCATTTTATGAATTTTAATTATATATCTTACACATTGACCGATTTTTTCTGTAAAAACTCAACTATAGGCACTGGGGTCCACATATTCAGTACCTAGGGGCTTGAACAGTTTTGGTTCAATTTAGATAATTTTTGATAAATTTAAACGCATTATTCACGCAAAGTTTTACCCCGATAAAAACATTGTTGCTTGATTTGCATAGTGGAAAGTTAAAAAATCAGATGGAATTTAAAATGTTGTTATATGGGAAAAAGGCGTGGTTGTAATAAGGTTTCGTCCTGAACAATCGGAATCAAGTACTTGTATAGGAATTTTTTTTATTTGACGATGTATCTGAACGAAATTTGGCGTGGGAAATTGTTCAGATGCGATCACTATATCAGTATATATAGATCGGTGTAACCGAAGTTAACGTTTTTTCTTGTTTACACAAATTTTGAGGTTATGCAAAAGAAGTTTGAATACACTTTCATTACCTATAATTTTGCCATAAAACTATTTTTTGTCGAGATAAACAGTTTTTAACCCTTAAAAATTTAACACCGCCCCTCCTACTATGATTGTTTTGTTTTCAAAAGTCTATTCTGGACTACAACGGAAAACGTTTTGTTAGTATTTATACTCTGAACAGGGTATATTAAGTTTGCCACAAAGTTTGTAACACCCAGAAGGAAACGTCGGAGACCCTATAAAATATACCTATATATAAATGATCAGCATGATGAGCTGAGTTGTTTTAGCCATGTCCGTCTGTCCGTCCGTCCGTCTGTATATATGCAAACTAGTCCCTCAGTTTTCAAGCTATCGATATGAAGTTTTGTACCTGCCTTTTTCTTACTAAGAAGCTGCACATTTTACGGAACGGCCGATATCGGACAACTATAACATATATCTGCCATACAAACTGAACAATCGGAAGCAAGTCCTTGTATGGGAAACTTTTTTATTTGACGTAATATCTTCACGAAATTTGGCAAGAATATAATCTCCGAAAAAATTGTTTAGATCGGATGACTATAGCATATAGCTATCATATAAACTGAACAATCGGAGTAAAGAGCCTGCATGGAAAAATATTTTATTTTTTATGTCCGATTCACAAAATTAGATCTGAATCAAGTCATTGTAAGGAACCTTTGTATCTGTGAAGGGTACTATAGCTTCGGTGCAACCGAAGTTAACGGTTTTTCTTGTTTCTTGTCCATATAATATATGTATATAAAATACCAAATGTTATTGTAATCTATTCACGATTTCGTCGAATAATTAATACTGAATTATTTCGCAAATTTTTAATATTAAGCTTTGCCACACCTGAAGTTATTTTCTCTGCTTTGATCTTTGCAATTTGAAAGAATATAATATTATATGTTCGATTACACCCGAACTTAGCGCTTCCGTACCAATTTTTTTATGACAAGTTTTATACTTCGTGTCATAATGATATTCAGTACAAAATCGCTGAATTATTGCTTTAAAAAGCATGTGTTTAGGTATACCTCACTTAGCATAAACAATCGATTGGACTGTTTGTCGTCGATTTTAATTTAGCCGCATAATTGTACATTCGTCTAATTGTTTGAGTAGTTTTGGATTCTTAATTGTGCAAGGCCTTCGACTTTTTCTGCACACTTGCCTTGCCTTCGAACGATTCCACATACCAATTTGCATTCACTCGCGACATAGCAGTCAAAAATAACTATGTTTCCAATTTTATTTGTGGCTAAATTCTTGGTCATTGTCACTTCCGTATGCGTTTTGTTGGCGCGTGCATTTGTAGATGATTTTCGGCAGACGTCGGATAACTAGGTTAGTCGGAGCGTTCATTTGCACCTTTTAACTTAGTTTATAATTTTATACCTAAGCGCAACGTGTTGCATAGGGCATTACACATTTTATATGACAAAACTTTTTTATGACACTATTAAAGTTGTATAAAACATATTTATTTGCTAAGAAGAAGACCAGAGATTCACTCAAAGAGGATATAAACCATAAAAGGAATATGTTAGAGACTTTTTACGATGTTTCTAGAATATAAAGTGGATATGCTCTCCTCGTTTTTCAACAATTATGTAACCTCTTTAATATTTCAAAAATATAACTTTGTTTTCCAGATTTCACAAGAATGGGTTATATCTTATCTCTTTATAGTTGCTCTAAATGGTCTTGAATGTTTATGAAGGGCTCCAATTAGCTTCCTTAGACAACATGTAAAGTGATTAACCCATAAAGAATCAATATTTTAGAACAATCTGAGAAATATTATTTTTAAATATAACGTGCTGTGCAACTTACGGGATAAATTTTCATTGTGATTAATTGTAATGAAGTCAAACATATTGTATCATGTATTAGTGACACTAAATACTACTATCTAAACGAAATCTACAGTGATTTTAACATATTTTCGAATAGAGCTGATAGTTATGAAAATATACTTCTAAACTTAGCCATTCAAAATATCGTGGAAAGTTTTTGTTAGGCCTTTAATAAAGCCAGATGACGAGAAATACTTCGTTTCAGATTTAGATTTCATTCAACTGTACTCCAGCTTTTAGAACTTTATAAAAGACGTAACCTATTATGTCATTTAAATGAAAAATAAAAGAAGGAACCCAGTTTCAAATTCTATTTCACATTCTAGTTTGTACTACATTTAACTTCTCACAATTTTTTAATCTCCACAAAATCATTCATAAATATGTATAGTCAATTTAGTTAGACTTGCAGTGTTACTTATCCTTTTGTAAGGTCAAAAGTTTATACACAATCTTATCAAACACTTTATGGTAGTTTCAACGCACAAAATACTCAAAGCTCAACACATTATACAGCTTTTAAAATATAAAACCCTTGCTCTGGCAAAGCCCTTTTTTGATTTAAAAGCCGCGCGCAATTTCTCTCGCTGAAAAGCTTAATTGTTGGCGGGCAATTCAATTATTTGCAAGCAATTTTCTTAGTTTTATTTTCCACGTAACATTTTAGCCAACTTTGGGGATTACATATATATGTACAAATTATTTTTCCTAGGGACAACAAGTTTTAATATATTTTTAAGAAATGTAGTTTTTATAGTTTTATTACGTTTTTAAATTTTTAATGCTGCTTTGGTGGAGCTTTAAGAAATGTTCATGCTTAATGTGTTAATAATAATTATGACATCGCTTATTGTAGACCAGTAACTTTCCTACAAGACTATGAGCTTTGCAATTTAAAATGATGTTTTTCATTTAGTTATAATTCAAAAGAAAAATACAATGATGATAGCTAACGGGAGCAAGTAACTGTTTTTAAAAAGGTTTAAAATGCCTCGACTCTTTAAATCATCCTCGTATTAAGCCTAATTAATTTGAATAGTACGTCATTAAAAAAATATATGCTTAATTTAAACTAATTCACATGAGGTTAGCAGTGTGGCCAACTTTGCTAACATGATTAACTTGATGATAACAGAAACTACGGCAAACAGAAAAGCACACCAATAATTTCAGTTGTAAGCCTTAGCAGCATTTTTCAAGTTCAAAGTCAAGTCTTCGCTTGGACCAGTTTGTGGCGACTGCTGACTTGAACATCAGTGACGGCAAGCGAGACAAAGCGAGCGCTGTATAGCACTGCCAAAGTTAATTGCCGGTGCGCATAACCGTTTAGAGATAAAAATGCTGTTAGATATTTGAAAATTCAAATTCATGGAAGCATTGTTTGAGTATACAAATTGGCAATTGGCAATGTGTATGCTGCGGAAATTTATTGCAAGTTTTTTGCTAATTGCTAACTTATAAGCATGGTAGTTATTTCTGCATGTCGACCCTTGACATCGCAAGGGCAGGAAGAAGATTCTTCCGAAACAGAAAGCAAAGTGTTGAAAAACGAAATTTAACAAAAGTGATCATCAATCAAAACTCCGGGTCAACTCGAACGCATTAAACAAACAACAATGTATTGTTTGTTATTTTTGTAATTTCAAGCGAGCTCGCTAGTATCTTTCCACAAGCTACAAAGTAGGTAGATAAAATAATTGTGGCCAAGAAGAATAATAAAAGAATTAAAATCGAAAAATATTAAAAAATCAAAAAAAATTAAAAAGACAACGCGAACGTCAAACGATCATTGTCAAGAACAAGACTGCCGAATGGCTAATAGTTCGCTCGTGGCAATGTAGAACAAATAAAGTCGGTCGTGCGCAACTCGTCAGACAACCGACTGCATAGAAAACGAACGAGCTAACGAAGCTATTAAACGATCAATTAACCACCCCAATGAGACTGAACGCACGCATATCTATGTACATACATAAATGTGTGTCAGCTTATAGCGCCGCACAATATTTGGAGCCGAAAACGAAACTAAGGCTGACAATTTATTTTGCATGTGTATGTACTGACGTACTTATATAAAATAATATTTTATATGCATGCGTTGGAACTTGTATGGGTTTGTGGCCATTTTTTGAGCTTTCTTCGGATGTATTATTTATTTCTTCATACATACATAAATACACACAATTCGTTTGTCTCATCACATCGCACCATCATCTAGCTGATCACATGTATAGCATATGCGTTTGCTTACCCACGGAAGTGTAGATACTTAGTGCCGCGCGACCGTGTCAAAAAGCTCAGTACGTGAATGGTTTTCATGTGAAGCGGTTGCTTGAAAAGTGAAGCGGGGAATACACCGTTTGCACCGTTAGTTTGAAAAGTTAGAGCAACCATAGCCATAGTATATGGAGTATGTGTACGATTGTCAACTCGCCTACAAAATCAATCAACGATCAGAGCTTAGAGAGCTGAATTATTTAAATTAAAGCACAGGTGAGGCGTGTAGTATTTTAGAGTGGACTAAAAAGGATGCAAAAGCACCATTTATTTGATATTGAAAGAAGTGTGAATATTAGTGTACGTCATTACAGCAGACAGTGCCAACGCGGCGTATAATCAACATCCTACATGTATGAACAAATAAGAAGATATGTGTTTTTGTGAGAATAATTTAAAGACTGTTGTTGACTTTGCATTAAGTTAAAGTGATTTAAGATTGAGTGTTTTGTTGAAAATAGAAAATAAATAAAAAATTAGCTTAACTAAAATTATATGAAATCGTAAGCAACCAGCGCTTAATTATGCATAATATTTTCACTTTACAGCAAATTAACTGGTTTCTTTAACTTGCTAAAACCTTTTTTATTGATTTTGATGACTATTTTTGTGTAAACTTAACCTCCAAAGCACATTTTATAAAATCTTACATATGCTGGTGTATAAATATAAATTTTTTTTTAAGTTTAAAAATAAATAAAGCGAGAAATAAAGAAGGAAGAACAAGAGTTAATACGTTAAACTTTTATTTCGGCAGCATCGAAACTATAATACCATTCACAAGTGCATTTCTGCAAGCAACAATAGGTAAATTTGAAAATTTAACTGGCCGTAAACGGTTCGCATTCAACGGAAAAATTTGCTACTTGTTGTGATTTGTTGTTTGATATAAATAATCTTCCAATCAAAACAAGCAGCTTCTTGGCGAGAAAAGAACGTATGCAAAATTTCAGATTGATATCTCAAAAACTGAGAGACTAGTTCGCGTATATACAGACAGTTAGGCATTTCTAAATCGACTCAACTTGTCACGCTGATCATTTATGTATTTACACGATAGGATTTCCGACGTTTCTGAGTGCTACAATACAAACATCGTGACAAACTTTATATACTCTGTTCAGGCTATAATATTCACAATTCGAATAATTACTATTAGGAAAATTCTCAGAATCGATTTCGATCATTAATTTCTTTGAAAATGAAAAAAAAATTTCAATTTCCTCCACAAAAACTAAACTTATTCGTTATAAAAAAGTTAATAATCATTATCAAACAAATAATTGGTTTTAGAGTTGCTATAAAGTGAGGTTAGCATGATATACAAGTATATATCTTAACGAGATAAACATCCATTTAAAGAAAATTATACTCCTATAGAGTTACATAGTTATTTATCAATTAAACAGAATATAATTTTCCAAACTCTCTTTTCAAAGTTACATCCGTATATAATATTTACGATCTTTCACGAAAACTAAACCAGTTTGAAGTTTGTTAAGCTAGTTAATTTCAGTAAACTACTTATATAAGTCCTAATTTACATAAAAATCATGCAACATTATCTACACATTGTTCCTTCACTTCTTGCTAAGCAATAAATATATAAACTACGTTGCACTTGCGTGGCTTGAAATCCCGGTTGGCAAGTTCTAAACAGAATTTCATCTCTTTAAAATATGCATAACACGCTTTGCAGATTATATAACAGTTACCCATTATTTATAAAAAAATAAACTCGTTCTCGTCTTAAGACTCAGATGTATATTTTTTATTGCAATATTGTGGTGAATGTGCTTGTTTGATTTCAATTGTGGAATATATTTTGACGAATCGTGTTATTTGCTTAAATATCATTTCAGTAAGCTTATGTGATTTGGAATTTTCAAGGAGCAAATATTAAAAAAATTTAATATTTATGCTAATAAATAAATTAGAAATAATTAATATTTCATTTATTGTAATTTCAGTACAAAGTTAAAAAACAAAAATTATGGCAACAAATCTTTAAAATATAATATCATAATTTAAAATTAAAATATAGTACCACGGGTTGGGGTAATGTATGTACATTTCAGATTAAATTCTCTTAATTTAATTTGGAAAATATACAAATAACCTGCCATAATTTGAAAATTAATATTTTAGAACCCTCTTTTATCAATGTCACTGCTACCATATAAACAAGCAATAAGCTCAGGTAGTTCATTAAAAAATATTCAGTAATCAATTCAGTAAGACTTATTTGACAGCTGAGCAGCCAAGTGGAAATATGTTGACACCCAATGTCTCAGTGACAAATTAGTGTATCTTCAAAGTGTCTAGTGAAATATTTTTTTTTCAATGATTTGTTAAATGTAGCTCTACACTACGATACGGTAATTGTTTAAACCCAGGTGCTGATAGTTTTAAAATAATTTAAAAAAACATAGTTTTAATATAGTGCTCATTTATATTCAAAGTACCATAAAGTAAGTCAAATATATCGGAAATTACCTATCCATTTTATAATAAGGATTACTTCAAACATAAAGTATCGATATTTTTATCATTTAAAATCTATTCTTAAATATCGATATATTTCTTAATAAAGTCTTATTTACCTATTTTGTTATCTAAAAGCTATGAGTTTCAATAAAAATTACTCAACAAACAATTTCTTCATTTAATGAATATACTTTTTTAATGACATATTTTTCAAAAATGTCTATTCAAAATTTTCTAACAAAATGTATCGATACCTAAATCGTTAATTATCGCTACCCTAAACTTAAATGATCGATAACCAAAAAAAAGTTGGTCGGTTGGTTGGACGATGTTTACGTCCATTAAGAGTACAAATTTCTAAGAATACCATTTAGTACATATTCAAATTCATTCACAGCAGGCAGTAATTCGTGTCATTAAATTAGCTATGATCACCGTGAGTATTGAGCTCAGAGCTTACTTTCAGTGTGTAACAAACTAAGTTGTTTGGTTAAATACTCAACAATCTACAACATACTACAAAAACGTTATGAATTTACTCCCCTAAAAGCAAAAAATATATACATATGTATATGTTATGCTTATATAGAGCTATATTTATTCTTTCAAAATTGCCAACAATTGCCAATGGAGATTGCTAATTGGCAATTGTGTCATAAATACTTCCTATTCGTCAATGTATTTAAACACACCAGCAATAAATCCAAACTTACATTTGTGTATTTTAGTCAAAGTTAAGCCATTAAAACTAAATTCGTCTTCACTTCTATGACAAACTCGAGTAAAATAAGTATGTATGTGATTGTGTTAAAGTCACAAATTTATCTTCCATATGTACATACTCGTATATGCATTAGAGTGCTAAACAATTTTTTTGAAACTTGTAGAAATCTAATAATTTTTAAATGGCTGTAAATACGTTTTTTGTAAAGATCAACATACTTTGCCTCAGAGTGTAGTAAAGCTTAAAGACTCAGGTTTAAACCACTTCTCACTAGATCTTACAGCAGTTTGGGCAAATGTGCTAAAAGGCAATAAAAGTAATGAACAAGCATTGTCAAAAAGTCTAAATCGATTTCAAAAGTTTGTGTTAAGCAAATAAAACACGAAACCTAACAATTAAATATTTGTTAAAGTCTCTTTCACACAGCTTTAAGTTTGTTGGTCATTTGAGAATTTGCAGATTTCATTGGCACTTTATGAAGTCAATGACTGTTAGGCCTGAAGCTAGCGGCGCTGACATTGGCAAGGTGTAAAAGCTTAAACAGTTTTTGAAAAATATAAATAACTTACAGCAAATTAAATTGATTATTATAAATTAGAAATACCTTTAAGAAGATTTTTAATATTTTTTTACTTTATTCGAAATTACTTAAATACTACTAAAATGGGGAGAACTGTCTTCTTCTTCTTTTTTAACCTTTTAGGGACTCCAGTGTCAGAAAAATATATGTTAATAACTGTCCTCAAATAAAGTATAATATAAAATTTATAATGTATGTCACATTGTCTTTTTTACCTTCGATTTACTCTTCAAAACTGTTATGTGTTCAATTTTTTCTCGAAACAATTTGTATTTGCTCAGTACAATAAATAGTATTTGCAATGCTAATTAAAAATCAGTTCCGCAAAGCGCTTTGGAAATTTCCAATCCGCTTAAGTGAAATTTGAACCTATATTTTTAAAATGCTATTTGAAAGTCATACTTTCTCGGACATATATAAATTATCTATTCACTGACCTATTTCATTTAATTTCATTCAGTTTAAGTTAGCAAGCTAATTAATTTAAAATTTTAAATTAAATTGCTGCTTCATATTGACACCTAAACTTATATACATATATATGTGTACGTGAAACTTAATTATTTTTCTGATTTCATACAGAAATTCAAATAGTTATGCACAGGCGATAACTAGAACATGATTCTAGAAAAGTCAATCAATATATAAATAAAATACGTCACTTATTTAAATATTTGTGCACACAATATGAAAGTCCATCCGATATACTCACCCCCAAGTAGGAAATATAATGTAAGTAAGATTATATCCACACATATTTGATTTGGAAAATCAGTTTAGCAATTAAGTAAGAACATTCAGTTTGATAGCTTACTTCAAGAAATAATAAGAATGTTATTAGTAAATTTTCCAGTTTGGAAAACTCTACTTTAATATATTTATGGACATTATTACCTTTTAGTAGCTGTTATGGGATATTTTAATTAATAATTTGTGGATACATTTTTGAGGAGATGTATATAAATTCGCTACTATTCGTTAATGGATTAGGCCCTAATTACTACTAGTTAAAGGTGTTAGCTGAACCACAATCAAGAAAAATAATAACATTATTCCATTAGTTATTTCTGATTGGGGTCTTCGCTCTATTGTCAAAGCAAGAATACTATAACATTGTTCCTGCTCAGAACACTAGTATGTCATTATATTTAATATATCTCTTAATCACATTTTGATTTTATAAACGGTTATGTTTACGAAATCGTAAGAAAGCTGTTTGTAGAGCATTCAATTTCCTACAAAATCTATGGAGCGAGATATTTTTTCAAGTAGTCGGAGGTCAGATTTGAATGTTTCTATCTGATAATATAAAAAATAGAAAACTGTAAGGCGCTACAATTAAGAGCTCATACTTGGAGAGGCTTTCTTAGAGGTGTCTACAAACCTCTTTTTCAGAGCATCGAATGAAAAAAAATCTTGACTTTCGACCCACTCTAATATATACATGCAAATAGCTGTCATAGAAACTGAACGATCAAAATCAAGTTATTTTATGGAAAACTTTTTATTTGTCAAGATATCTTCACGAAATCTGGCATGAACTATTGTCTAAGGTAGCGTAAAAATTTTCTAGCAAATTTTTATGGTCAGATAAGTACAAAACTTACCAATCAAAATCTGTTCTTATGTTATGTGGAAACTTTTTTATTTCTAACCTGTTTTTTTGGTTTTTTGTTAACTGAATAAAATTCGATTCTTATTTTTTTATCCCACTTATGGTATACCTCAAAATAATAATGTCTTTGCATACAATATTTTAAAACAAAAGAAATTTAAATTTTTTTTCAAACTAATAAATTTGCACCGAATACAAAAAAAAGGATCTATTACGATTTGATTGACTGAAAACGGCAAAACTAATTACAACATAAGTGCTTTAACTAACTTAATTAGTGGTTATTGTAGTGTGGGTACTACCTCTTTTTCATATTATTTTACACTTTTTAGCGTTCGCTTTTGTCTTAACTGAATATGAGGATCTATGTCACATCCCATAATATAAATATGAATTTTAACACGATTTGTTTAATTATTTGTGTAAATATGTAAAGAGGTGTTGACATCTTCCATACGTCATATATACTTGTACACTAATATGAATAAAATGGACACTAGCCAAAAAAGCACCCATAGAAGAACTTAAGATTTATAAGATATAAATAATATGCAACCCATAAATTAAATATAATGATCATAATAATAACGTATTGTATTACCGCACATGTGTATTACAAAATTATACGCACATTTCAAATGAACATAAATAAATACATGCAAACATATACATATATGTTATATATACACATGCTGTGTAGCAGCATCAAAATTTGTATGGTATAATAACAGTAAAAATCACATACAATGGACATAAGCAAGCGAACAGGTGTAGTTGCAACAAAGTGACAAATATACACAACTATTATTATTTTCTTTTCTTTTGCCCACTTTTTAACACACATACGTACAACACACATGCACTTATACCGCTATTTGTTTTCACCATTCGGCTTTGTAAGTTAAGCACCACTCGAATATATTCAACTTTGCCTCGGCGTCGAGTGTAATTGCTGAACTATTTCAGCCAGCTGTAGGCCAACATTTTGACCGTGATTTTGATTATTTCTCATTTCTGACACATTTTCTTTTTATGCAATTGCAAATAAATTTCTAAAGATGATGTGCATATATGAATACATTGACATTTACATTAGTGTAGGTGCATATGTATATGTAAATCTCCTCATGTGCTCGTATTACTCAGCTAAAAGAAAAAAATAATACATAAAGGCGGGGCAGATATTTTAAAATATAATAAAAAGCAAAATGTCTCTTAAGAAAGCATATGTATATGTAAGGGACTATTAGTAAGGGACTATAATTTTACTGAGATTAAATTTAAATAATTTGGTATTTTTTTGTCATTACAATTTTTTTAACAAAATATTTAGGGCCCAATTTGAGCTATTTTTAAAAGTTAATATTTGATTTGTAAGGTATAATGGTAATTTTTTTTTAATGTAAATAAAATATTAAGAGAATCGCGCTTATACATATTACATATAAAAATAAAGTCAGAAATTCGAAAGGCTTGTTAAACAAATTAAAAAGATTTCAAAATTTTGTACAAATTTTCTTTATTGTATGTATAACCGAGACTTAAAGGTTCGTACTGTCACGTTAAGAGAGCGCTTCTAGATTAAAATGATTATATTCAGATCTAATCTTCAAAACATACCATATTAATAAGAAATGGATTTCCCAATAATATTTTCAGTAAATTAGTAAGGCTTAGGTACAACAAACCTTTAATACTCGAAGAACAAAATTTCTGGAAATTATTAGAACGTGAATAAAAAGTAGGCGCGTTTCTTGTCGAATTTCATGAACCAAATTTAGTGCGAATACACGATAACCTCATAAACAATATTACTAGACCTATAGGGATTCATAGATTACATCACTTTCTCATGAAAGTTCCAGATGAGAATAGTTGTGTTCGTATACAGTTACAAAAGTAGAATTAAATTGACACTATATAAAACTTTAACTACCACTAGCTGTGGTTGTTCTAGCTGTAGAAATTCTTACGTGTCCGAATAATAATCCGGATTCGTTTTGATTATGTAAACCCAACTATCATCGAAATATAGCTATTAACACTAGTATTTTCGAGATGTCCCCTTGCAATGTTGATGTTTAAGGTATAAATGTTAGCAACAAGCGTATAATTTGTTGACTTCGAGTGTTTATTGAGCAATTTTGGATTAAAAACAAGAAAAAACGTTAACTTCGGTTGGGTTACTTGTACATGGAATTATTTGAAGATATATATATTGAAACATTTTTCCATACAAGCACTTGATACCGATAGTTCAGTTTGTATGGCAACTATATGCTTTAGGGGTCCGATAAATGAGCAGCTTTTTGGAGGGAAAAGGATATGTGCAAAATTTCAGATCGATATCTAAAAAACTGAGGACTTGTTTGCGTACTTGTATATACAGATGCAAACACAGACAGATGGACAAACAGACGGACATGGCTATATCATTTACAATATGTATATATTTTATAGGGTCTTTGACGTTTCCCTTTGGATGTTATAAACTTCATTGCAAATAAGGGCAGGACATAAAAATCGAAATACATATGTGTTGTATCTTCAGTTAAAAATGAAACTTAAACAAACAAATATGATATATGTTCATATAAAACGACTTAAAATGATTTTAAATTTTTGAATTTTCAGATACACAGTGACTTTCAAAAAAGCAAAGTAAAGCGTTACATTTAAAAAAGTTTTGTCCAAAACTGCTCAGCTGGACTGAAATAATCAAACAATCGGCAGCAATACAAGCGGTGCATTGGTTTTTTCAGCACAAAATTTCAATAATCGTAAACAAATTGTAACTCAAATTTCATAATAAACAATACGTAAAAAATGGCGGATATGAACGCAACCGACAGTGACGTATGGAAATTCCTATTCGTCGAATTAGCTGGTAAGTAAAACAAATAAGCATAAAGACAAATGTTACGAGAAAGATAACATAGAAGAATTAATAATCTCTTAATCACGTAATTAAAATAACTTGTTCACACATTAATACGTTAATATATATAATTATTATAAATAGTTCAGCTTAACAACATTTTATGAAGCACTTCACCGAATTTAATGAACATTGATTGGAAATAGTTTCATTTTATAATCGACATTAACGGCAATTCACTTCCACAATCTTTATTTGTGGCAACAATAAAATATTTTGACAATACTTCAAATAACAACAATACTCTTTACTTCCTCAACAGATGCACGTACAAATGATTGGTTTCTAATTAAATCGCCGGTGCCGATATTCTCAATTGTTGCGCTTTATTTGTACTTTGTGCTTTCTTGGGGCCCGCGTTACATGCGCGATCGCAAGCCATTCAAATTGGAAAATACTTTGATTGTGTACAATTTCATACAAGTATTGGTCAGCGCATGGATGGTCTATGAGGTAGGTACTACCAAATATTTAAGTTATTTTGTTGATTTTTCTTTATTTCTGTTATATTTATTTGAAGTTGAAAAAACAATACAAATACACATATTGCAATGCAAATTGTAGCAGCGGTTTTAGGTTTAAATTGTGAAAACAAGTTTGGATAACAAATTTTTAAAAGCAAAGATAATTAGCCATTTATTGGTTTGATATAATTCAGAAATTTGTTGGGATTGAATTTTGACATGCAAAATGCCTTTTTCAATAGGGCTTTAACGCATACAATGTAATTTCCGCATTTGCTTTGAGCTTATGACTAAAGAAGTAAGGGAGGCCTAAGTTCGGGTGAAATCGAACATTTTATACTCTCGCAACTTGCAAGGATCAAAGCCGGCTAAATAGCTTCAAGTGTTGTCAAAACTTTGTATTACAAAATGTAGCGAAAGGGTTCAACTTCATTGTTCGACGAAATCGTGAATGGATTAAAATCACATTTGGTATCATACTTGCATTAACTTATTTTGAAGGTCATAGATTCACGTCCGCGAAAATTATCCTTTCATCGTTATCAAATGAGATAAAACTTAACCAAAGAGCCTATATTTAATATATTGAATTTATGTGAAATACGTCAACTAAAGCATCGAAATTCTTTATATTAGGATATAAGGGTTAAGACCAACACCGTTTTCATTTATATTGAGCCACAAACTATTATTATAATTCACACAAGTTGACCAATTTAAACAGTTGGTTTAAAGTCATTGCTTTTTGACATTGTTCAGGTATACTTGAGAACTCACTTTAATTAGAATAGGAAACTAACTCCCACATTAGCCGATATATTATATGTGGCATAAAGTCAACTGGCAGTTCAAAAATCTTTGCATTAGGTATATGGAGGCTAAAGGAAGTATTGACCCGATTCAACCCATTTTTGACACAAAGGCATATTATTATCAAGGAAACATTTTCTTCGAATTTTAATAATATATCGCTCATATTGGCTGATATTTATGGCAAAATGTACGCCGATTTTAAAACTTTTTAGAATCGAGATGGCATATCTCAAAGAAACTATTTGTGCAAAGTTTTATCCGAATATATTGATTGGTGCTTGATTTGTATACTGGAAAGTAAAAGAATTATATGGAATTTAAAATTGTGCTATTTAAGAAGTAGGCGTGGTTGTAGTCCGATGACACCCATTCTCACAACGTAACATAGGATCAACAGGATGAGTTATGTACCAAATTCATAAATTTCAATTGTTTTTACATATTATTAATTGTTTTGAGCAGGGAATTATTTTAGTTAAAATTAATAATAACGTATTTTGACGTGAGAACTTTCGATTCAAAATTAGGGTTTTTTTCATATTAAGTCAATATAATTTTTAATTTTAAGTTAAATCAAAAGGAAATAAAGAATGCTTGAGAAGTAAAAATGTTTATTTACACAAAATGTAAAAGAAAAAAAAAATTGGGTTAATGATAAAAATAAAAAATAAAAGAATTTTTAGTTTTTCACAAAAAGTTTGAGTTTATGTGAAGATGGGGTAAATAAAAAAGTTTTAGGGCTTTTTATTACTTATGACATTACCATATAACTTTTTTTCATAGAACCCATAATTCCTTTTTCAGTAGGTTTCAATGAACTGCGTAAATTTTGTGGATTATTCCATTGGCTTTATAAGAAATTGAATTAAGTTTTTTATTTTTATTTATCAAAATCTTTCTTGCATTTCTATTTCTTAAAATTTTCTTAGTTTTCTATTTTAATAAAAGGTGTTTCAATCAAATTAATAATTTCAAAATAAGTTATTTTTTACAAAAAATAAATGTTTGAATATTTTTTCAACTGAAATAAAAAGCTCTTATCTTTTTACAATCAAAAACATTTGTAAATATTTCGAAAAAATCTGAGACGTATCTGATTAAATAAATTTCTTTTTATAAAAGCAAATTGAAATCATCAATGACCGTTATTTAGAAAAAAACAAAAATAAAACCTTAATTTCGGTTGCACCGGAACTATAATATCCCTCACAAATACAAAAGATTCCTTAAAAGAATTTGATACCGATCGTTCAGCTTGAATGACAGCTATATGCTATAGTGATCCGATCCAAACAGAGCGGAGATTCCATTATTGCCTTAGCCAATGATCCATTCCAAATTTCGAGAAGATACCTCGTCAAATGAAAAAGTTTCCCATACAAGTACTTGATTCCGATTGTCAGTTTGTATGGCAGCTATATGCTATGGTGGTCCGATATCGGCCGTTCCGACAAATGAGCAGCTTCTTAGTGGGAAAAGGGGAGGGACTAGTTCGTATATAAACAGACAGACAAATAGACGGACATGGCTAAATCAACTCAGCTCATCATCCTGTTACATTTATAGAGTCTCCGACGTTTCCTTCTGGGTGTTACAAACTTCATGGCAAACTTTATATACCCTGTTCAGGGTATAAAAATAACATAAAACCCAGTTTTTTAATTATTGGAATTGATGAGACACCAAACAGCCTATAAGTACACAACAACATATAGAAATGGGCTAATGCATATTTACAACTGTTTCTTAATAAAAATTGCCGAATTTACAAAAGAATGTTCAAATATGGAAACAGGTTTTTGGACTAGTTCTAAATTAGACAAGCATTCTAAATCGAGACAAGCATTTTATTTACATATTTAAACCAACATGGTCAATGGGTCAATCACTTTGCTGAAAACAACACAGTTGAAAAGGTATTCACCATGCCATATTAAGTGGAAGCGACGCGTCTTTTCAATTTCAATTTACATATATAAGTTTGTCTTTGCGAAACTTGGGGTAGTCCCGAAATTTTTTGGTAATTCAGCATAAACTTAGTAAACCATCATAAAAATAATATTTTTGAAATGTTATGTGAAAATATTTCTTTAAAGCTATCTTTTAACTAATTTCGGAAACGTTTTTTGTCTTTGAATTCCAATTTTTTGGAGTCTTTCTTCATTTCTAATCACTTACAAAAAACATTATGCAATACTTGGACATAATTTGTCAATAATAGGATTTCTTCAGAATTAAGGAAAAATAGAGATTCTTCTTAGTTTAGTTTTGATTTAAAATCAAAAATAAGATCAAGCAAGGAAACAGTGCAGTATAAAATACGAAACGACTTTTAGAGAAAGATTTAAAGATTTTAAATAGTAAATCTGGGTATCAAATCATAAATATTGGTTTGGAAATTTGTTTCAAAATGTATCCCTCGAAATAATATAATGTCATATTTTTTACTTATATTTCATGGCTACAGCGCTTTTTTATTTAGTTATAAAGATCTTATATCTCATAGTTAAATGTATTTTAAATTAGCCCAAAGCTAAATGTATTCCAATAAAATATATATCGAATTGAAATCATTATTAACATAGTTTGGTCAGTCATTGCAAAGGTATATAAAAACTAAGACTTTTTGCAGATTTTCCTCTATGTGCCCCCTAGAAATATATCAAATGAGTCGACTTCAAAGTTTCAGTATCATACAAACTTCCATTTAAAATTTCGGCTTGAAACTATCGTTTCCAAAATAAATGCAAGGTGTCTCAGGTGCATATTCTCGTTCTTCGTTTTCGGGATCCCTTGATATTATATTTCTTCTGAACCAAGGTTGAATGTTTCATTATTTCTCGGCATTTCTCTATAAATATAAGACTGATAAAAAAATGTAGAAGATGTGATAAATATAGATATTATTGATTTGACATTCGAAACAGAGATTGTATTGGATTTGGGTGTCACGGAAACCATTTTTTTCGGTTTTGTTATCAGAAACAAATAAAGAGGATAGTCGCTGACAGTTTAGAAAATAATTTATATTATTTTTACGATTTAATTTATTTTTATTTCTATAAAGGAAAACATATGAATAAAACACAAAATGTCATAATTAATGAGTTTATGGGACAAAATCCAGATATTTTAGGAGGATTGACAAAACGATATATACGTAATTTAACACCCAAATGCGTCTTTATTCAGTCGGTAATGTGATATAAACCTGTAAAGTAAGCATGCTATAAGGCTAAAATATTTGGTTCCGTTTATTCGACATTTAAAGCCTGTATAAGTTTTTACGATATAAGCATCCCGCTTAAATCTATTCCCCAGTTATTTTGTATGGAAGCTCTTCGAGCTCGAAAGTTTAATGAGAGTTTAATATAACACTATTTCCCAAATTTCTCAAAGACTAATCAATTTTGGTGATTTCTCGCAAGTAAATCAACCGATTTTAACCCGGTTTGCGACAAACGATGTGTTTTTGGTGTCGATCGGTCAAGTCGTTTGGAAGAAATTCGAAAAAAAAACGATTTTTCAAATTTTCTCAAAAATAAGAGATTTCTCGAAATCTACTAGTCCGATTGGGTCCAATCTTACACGAAATTCAAGTGCTATGAAACCCTTTGGAATTCCGTTTAGTTCAAATCGGTTGAGCCGTTTAAAAGTTATATGAGGTTTAGATACATCCACACACACACACACATACATCCACACATACATACGATACTTCGATACGGACATCATCGTAGAAATGTTTCGGGGAAGCTTCCTCGACCCTCAGACCGTCGAGATCTGTTGAGAACTCGATTTTTGCAAAATGGGGTGAAACCAATAACTTCCCGATTTTTAGAAAGTTTTAATTTTCTTCTATATTTCTTTGGAGATTGCATCATGAATGAGTTTTCCATACAAGCCCTTGGTTCCGATCGTTTAGTTTGTATGGCAGTTATATGCTATAGTGATCGGATCTAAAAATTTCTTTGGAGATTACATTGTTGCTTTAGGAAATAACTTTTCCAAATTTCTTCAAATAAAAAAGTTTCCAATACAAGCACTCCACTCCGATAGTTCTTCTTAGTTAGAAAAGGATAGTTGCGAAATTTCAGGTCGATAACTTAAAAACTGCTAGTCCCTCAGTTTTTTGTATATATACTGACAGGCGGACATATATTTTATAGGGTCTCCGACGTTTCCTTCTGGGTGTTACAAACTTTATATGCCCTGCTCAAGGTATAAAAAATAGTATTATTGCACACTGGCATCACTCTTTCTAAACTGTAATCAATAAGGAAACTGATTATTTCAGATGGCACATCTTTATTTATAAATACTATTAAAAGACATAAAGAGTAAACGAGCCACTTTAAGCAAATTCCACTGAATTAGAAACTACGGACAAAAACAAAGTTTGCATTAAGTACAAGTTTTCGCGCGACACTATAGATAGAATAATTCGCGAAAAGGAAAGTTTGTCAGCAAAGACCATTTCAGCAAATTTGAAAAGAAAACGCAATCGATGCAGCAATTCAATGGAAATTGATCGTGCTATAACCATATAGTTTAACCAAATACGGCCATCGGGCGCTGTAATATCTGGAAATTTTTCACGCATCAAGTGGATTACTGTAATCTCTTAATACTTTCCTTTTTATTTCTTCGATGCTTTTTTCTTCCAATAAAATAAAAGCTAAAATAGCGTATCTCATTGTAAACTTTAATAAACTTTATTCAGTATTTTAAATTTATCAAACACTTCCAAATTTATACATTTGCAAGTTTTGTCACATTGGTAGACAGCAGATTCGAAAATATTGGTCTTGCGTATATAATATATAAAAAGACAAAGTCCAATCAGATTCGTTGACACCATTTAAAATTTCTTTCCTTATTCACACCTAGGGCTGCGTTGCATGGCGAAATTACAATTGGCGTTGTCAGCCGGTGGATCGCTCGTTCAGTCCACAGGCCGTGAGGGTAAGTTAAATATCAGCAATTTTCACAAACTACAACATTTTCCACTTTTTTCACAATTTTCTAAAATTATCCAACTTTTTCTTCTTTTGTTTATCGTCTGCACAGGAAGCGCGAGGCGTCTACGTCTACTATTTGGCGAAAATCAGCGAATTATTGGATACCGTCTTCTTTGTGTTGCGTAAAAATGAACGTCAAGTCACATTTCTGCATGTCTATCATCATTCCGTTATGCCATTGATCTCATGGGGCACCACCAAGTATTATCCCGGCGGCCATGGCACCTTCATCGGTTGGATCAACTCATTTGTGCACATCGTTATGTACACCTACTACTTCTTATCGGCATTCGGTCCAAAAATGCAAAAGTATTTGTGGTGGAAATCGCACATTACCACACTACAAATGGTGAGTATCAATTATGTAATTAGTGAGTAATTGTACGCCCCTATGCATGAACCATAAACAGGTTATTTGACATTGAATCGGTCGTATGTCCCTTTTCGTGCTGCGTTATATATGTAATTGAAAGTGAAGATGCTAAGTGGCAGCTCAGACTGTTAATAACAAAAATAAAATGAATTCGTAAGTTATTTATTCAATGCAAATTTATAAAGCCATTCTTGGTGAACTCGAAAACTCTACTCTATTTCATATTGAGGTGCTAATAGCACAATTAACACTTATTAGTATCCAATTTACACTAAATTGCGAGCATTTCTATATATTTATACCCTGAACAGGGTATGATATGTATATACACACATATATATATGATCAGCGTATATATATATATCTATAAATGACCGTCTATGCCTATCCGTCTGTATATATGTAAAATAGACCCATAGTTTTTGAGATATCGATCAGAAATTGTGCACATGTCCTCTTCTACGCAAGAAGCTGTACATTTGTCGGAACCGCTGATAATATAATTATAGCATATGGCTGCCATGCAAATTGACCGATCCAAGATCAAGATCAAATCCATGGATTATTATTCAAGGCAACGGTACAATCTCCCATGAAATTGTTTCGGCCGAACGAGTATGACATATTACTGTCTTACAAACTGATCGATATAAGTGTAATTAAAATCTGTTTATATTCTTTTTTGATATAAAAAAAATATTCCTGTGAAGGGTATTATAGCTTCGGTTAACCCAAATTTAACAGTTTTTGGTTTTAATTTTTTTCTACCCCCTTTTTTCCTCAGGTTCAATTCTGCATGGTCTTCATTCACCAAACTCAGCTGCTTTACACCGACTGCGGTTATCCCAGATGGAGTGTTTGTTTCACCTTGCCCAACGCCATTTTCTTCTACTACCTCTTCAATGATTTCTACCAGAAATCATACAAAAAGAAACAACAAGCACAAGCAGATGCCCTAAGCGCCAAATGCGCGGCCGCAGCTGCAGCCAACGATAACAACAACGATGTAAGTGCCAAGAATCTGAATGGTGTACCGGAAATTACGGAGAACACGGCACAAGCGAAAAAGAATCTGTAAAACTCGGCGGCACTAAATTTGTCAGTTAGAAGTCTCAAAACATTTTAGTAAAACCAAAATGACCGCTGTGTCGACGCCGCTCCTGCCAGGCTGTCAGCCACCTCTCTATCTCAGTTGTATAAATGGTATTATTTTTAAGCACAATCAAATTATTCCTTTCTTGCCTTTTTTGTTGCTGTAAGTACCTTTATATGTAGGTATGTATTTATATATATTGTGTTTGGGGGTTTTAGCTCTAAGTTCTTAGTAGTTATGTAAGCGTCATTTAAACCGGTTAGTTTTAATTGATTTATGTACATATTAACAGCAAGGATTCTGAGCAAAATAAGTAACAGATTTATTGTATATTCTAACTATACAATTTATTATTTCTAAGTCAAACTGAGTCATTTGGAAGTCTTGTTGAAATTTGTACGTACAATGCCAGTAATTTGCTTAGGAAAATTCATAATGAATTTTCTTCACTCCAGCAAATATGAAGTCAATATCGCGCTTGTACCTTAAGTTAAGGCAAAACAAATATAATAAAATATTGTAAGAATATTGTTTAAATATCATAAGAAATTCTATGCATATGTATGTTTTTAGTTCTATGTAATATTATATAGATATTAAGTCATATGCGGAAATAAAATTACTTTGTATATAACGATATTTGTATGCATTTTTCTTTTATTGCTGATCTGAGAATTTCAATGAAAACAAATTTTTCAGCAAAACTCTATTGTTTTCATTCATAATGAGTGCCACTGAAAATGAGATAATATCAAAGTGATCTTTAAAGTTTTAATTTTCGGTGATTTTTTTCCAGCGAGAATTTCTTGAAGTCTGACAACTGGAAAATGTTTGAAACCCAATTTGGATATAAGCTCGCCCGACTTTCAAGTTCGCACACCAAAATATTGATGAACGTTTTGTCCATCACAGTCTTAAATATTGTTAGAATGTCAGTTATCACGATCAGACTAATTTTTCGGTCTGTCAAGGTATCGTTTTGTATCACCGGAATTTGTTTCTTTATACTCGTATTCTGTCTTCTTCACAGCTCCAGTGTGAAATTTAGAATTTTTTGTTTGCATATTTCGATAGCCATAGCTTTAAAATCAAGGTCTTGTACGGAACATTTTTGTGTTACTCGAAGAAAAATCATTTGATCACTTTGACTTTTTCAGCTTATTTTTTTCAAAGTTTTCCATTTGTTTCCATTAGGTGTGTTTTTCATAATACTATACCTCTAAAACCAAATATTACTAAGAGCCCTAAAACAAACGAAAACTTTCGAAAGGTCGGACTGGTATGTTATATCACAATCCCCATAGCAATAATATGTTAGGTGCAACAGACTTCGTCAGTTCAATGAAGACATGCTATCAATTACTTTACTCAAATTTTTATGGGCTAATTAAAGTTCTCTATATATGCAGTTAATGATATTCCGATTCTCCCAATGCATAACTCATAATCTAAAGAGGTGTGACCAAAAATTTCCTAAGACAGCCATTTTTGCAAGGTTAATATGAGGGCAAAGAATGCTGTTGACCTATCACTTGTTAATGAAGGCTTGACAACTTTTCTTAAAACAATAACATAACAGTTACCTGAAATCTTAAGCAAAGAATGAAGAAGATGGTACGACCCAAAAACAATGACTGTTGCCGGAAATTGGATATGCACTCGAAGATCATGCAAAACATCGGTCATTTAAACTTGTCTTTAACGTTCTTTTTTTTAATAATATCACATTTTTCCGTGTACTAAATATGGTTTTTGTTCACTCGGACATTAACTAGTCTCTTCGGCTCTACTATAGCTTATAGCGCATATCTTCAAAACAAAACACAACGAACAGTACATATATGCAGGGCCCAGGGTTAAAAAGGTGGGGATAACCTCCACACAGGAATTTCTTTTGTATGATTTTGAAAATCAATAATGAATAAACCAGTTCATACATACACTTTCAGTAAAAAAAAATTTCAGATTATACCTGAATATATGAATATAGGGATAGCAAGACTTGACAGTTAATAGGAAAACAGAAACATCTCCTTAAAACATTTATTTATCGATCTAATTAATGAAAAAATAGTTCTTTTAAAACGGTCAATATTTAATTATTTGAAACTGGCAGCGAATGCGTCGATAATAGTGGGGATATCCTACTTTTTGGCAAATTTTGCCTCTAGACACAGTGTAGCTAGTTCTGAAATCCTGCTCAGAATTTTTGATCCCTGACAAAACACTAAACGAACGTTCACCCCTTGAAACAGAAACGGGTAGAGTGCAAAATATTCTTAAAGCGATGCATCGCAAATGTGTCTAAGGTGAATAGCTTTATTGGACAATTTATTAGAAATATCAACGGAATACTTTTTTGAAAAATTTTTAGCAGCTGCGTTGAGTTGATCGTCTTTCATGGCCAATAGAAATGACAACGATTCGTTAATGTCGTTAGCGAATATTTTCTTCATGCCACAAATAAATCTGTCAAGTATGACGTAGAAAGTGTTTCTTTTGAATTCAAATCGATT